AACCAACAAAGTTTGTTAATTCTACCTTCTTAATTCTTTACTAGCTTTTGAATGTGTCCGCTTCTCAGAATTTCCACTGCTGTTTCCTTAGTTCAGGCTGCTTCTGTCCTTTCCCTGAATTATAGCAAAAAGCTTTTTAATTAGTCTTAACCCCAGTCTTGTCCTCCTCTAGGCTATTACCTACCTTTTATCTAGAATATTCTCTATAAAATACAGATTTGATCAGCAGCACAGCTCTGTTTAAAACCAAAAGGCTATTCAAAATCCTTAGGATGAATTCTACCTTTTCTCTACAGACTCATCTCTGTTTACTCTTCTTCATATTCCCTATCCCCAAACTTTTTTTCTTTTTCATGTATCTGAACCTTTATAGTACTCACTAACTCCTTTATTAGGTCTCAGTTTATGTGTTATTTTCTCTTCTTGCACCTTCAGACTCCCCCACTTGCCTATCTTCAGGATTAGTTAGCTGCCTTCTAGCGTGCTCCCTTTTGACACAGCACACTGTGGTAAGTTCCTATTTAGTTATGTGTACCCGCTCCCCTCCCCTCATTCGATTATGAGCTTCTAGAAGCAGAGATTGTATCTTGTTTATCCAAGTGTTCCCAGGACTTAGCACGGTGCCTGAAATTTGTAAGTCCTTAATATGTATTTGTTGATTAATTGAAAACATTTCAGTGACTCCACATTGCCTCTAGAATATAGGTGCATTGTATAGAAAGATTTTAATTGTTTTTTCTGTACCTCTTCAAACTCATTATACTTATACTCCATCCATTTCAATATGTGTGTTTTAACCTTATAACATGGATGAATCTGGAAGGCATTATGCTGAGTGAATTTAGTCAGTCACAAAAGGGCAAATATTGTATAAGACTACTATTATAAAAACTCAAGAAAAGGTTTAAACACAGAAGAAAACATTCTTTGATGGTTACGAGGGTGGGGAGGGAGGGAGAGGGTTATTCACTAACTAGATGGTAGAGAAGAATTATCTTAGGTGAAGGGAAGGACAGCACACGCTACAGGGGAAGTGAGCACAGCTGGAGTAAACCAAAGCTAAGACGTTTCCTGAATACAACCAAACACTTCGAGGGTGGGGGTCTGGGGACCATGCTTTCAGGGAACGTTTAGGTCAATTGGCATAACAAAGTTTATTAAGAAAATGTTCTGCATTCTACTTTAGTGAATGGCATCTGGGGTCTTAAAAGCTAGCAAGCGGCCATCTAAGATGCATCAATTGGTCCCAACCAATTGGAAAATGAAGTAAAGGAGAATGAAGAACACTAAAGTCACAAGGAAAGCGTTAGCCCAAGAGACAGAAAGGGCCACATAAACCGGAGAGTGCAACAGCTTGAGACCAGAAGAACTGGATGGTGCCTGGCTACCACCAATGACCGCCCTGACAGGGAACACAACAGAGAGTCTCTGATGGAGCAGGGGAAGGATGGGATGCAGAATTCAAATTGTAGTAGAAAGACCAGACTTAATGGTCTGACTGAGACTGTAGGAACCCCAGAGAGCGTGGCCCCCAGACTATCTGTCAACCCAGCACTAAAATCATTCCTGAGGCCAACTCTTCAGTCAAAGATTAGACTGGTCTATGGGACATGAAATGATACTTGTGAAGACTGTGCTTCTTAGGTCAAGTAGATACATGAGACTAAATCGGCAGCTCCTGTCTGGAGGTGAGATGAGAAAGCAGAGAAGGTCAGGACTGGTTGATTGGACACAGGAAATCAGGGGTGGAAAGAAGGAATGTGCTGTCACAGTATAGGGAGAGCAATTAGGTCACATAACTATGTATAAATTTTTGTATGAGAGACTAACTTGGATTGTAAGCTTTCACTTAAAGTACAACAATAAAATTTCTTAAAAAGTGTGTTTTAAATGACTAAACAATATTGTTGTATAATATCTTCACGCTTTTATAAATCCTATTCCTTTTACCTAGAATGACCTGTCTTTGCTTCCTTCTCTTTTGGCAATCTTTTTCTCATTCTTTGAAACCACTCTGCCACATCCAGGTTGATTTAAAACTTGTTTATCCTTTGGTGTATGAGGTGTACATACTTCCTTTATGTTGTTGTTGTTGTTAGGTGCTGTTGAGTCGGTTCCGACTCATAACAACTCTGTGCACTACAGAACGAAACTCTGCCCGGTCCTGCGCCATCCACACAGTCATTGTTATGCTTGAGCCCATTGTTGCAGCCCTGTGTCAGTCCATCTCTTGAGGGTCTTCCTCTTTTTCTCTGACCGTCTGCTTTACCAAGCATGATGTCCTTCTCCAGGGACTGATCCCTCCTGATAACATGTCCAAAGTATGTAAGACGTAGTCTCGCCATCCTAGCTTCTAGGAACATTCTGGTTGCACTTCTTCCAAGACAGATTTGTTTGTTCTTTTGGCAGTCCATATTATATTCAGTATTCTTCGTCAACACCACAATTCAAAGGTGTCAGTTCTTTTTCAGTCTTTCTTGTTCATTGTCCAGCTTTCGCATGCATATGATGCTATTGAAAATACCATGGCTTGGGTCAGATGCATCTTAGTCTTCAAGGTGACATCTTTGCTTTTCAACACTTCAAAGAAGTCTTTTGCAGCACATTTGCCCAGTGCAATGCGTCTTTTGATTTCCTGACTGCTGCTTCCGTGGGCGTTGATTGTGGATCCAAGTAAAATGAAATCCTTGACAACTTCAGTCTTTTCTCCATTTATCATGATGTTGCTTATTGGTCCAGTTGTTAGGATTTTTGTTTTCTTTATATTGAGGTATAATCCATACTGAAGGCTGTGGTCTTTGATCTTCATCAGTAAGTGCTTCAAGTCCTCTTTACTTTCAGCAAGCAAGGTTGTGTCATCTGCATAATGCAGATTGTTAATGAGTCTCCCTCCAATCCTGATGCCCCATTCTTTATATAGCCCAGCTTCTCGAATTATAGCATTTATCAAAATATATAGCAGTTTTTTGTTTTTATTTCTCCCCAAATGGACTGAATTCCAGTGAGATTTAGTGTTGTCATTGTATACATGATACCTTGCATCTGTTATGTATAAGATAAGTAAAAATATTTGATAAGTAAATGAATAGAATTATGTTTTTAAGAAAAATTATCTTAATCCATGGAAAATGAGAATATTTGAGAGCCTGAAAGCCTGAAAATATAAATGGTGAATTAAATTGTTGGGCATTTGCACTATAATTTCTAAGTGTGATTCCCCATGGGTCTCTAGATTTATACATCACAAAATTCTAAAACAATAGAATTTACTAAAAAGTCAAGTAACTATGAACATTATGGGTGTAGTATGTTTTTATTGGAGGAAATAATATCCCAAGCAGACCACAGAAATAATGAAATGGTAATACAACTTAATATTGTTATTATTTTAAAATTAACAGTTCTGTTGTGTATTTGGAAAGTACTTTATACTTTTTAGAGTAATTTCTCTTATTATCTGCTTTAGTAAATCAAACAACAAATAGTGCATGTTGAGGAAACAGGACATTTTGTTCATTTGAAATATATCCAATTTTATTCCTTTTTAAAAATGAAGCTCAGTTTATATAATCTAAGCTTGAAAAGAATTGAAATGGCATTATTATATGCAATATTTAATTCTTTTCTCTATTAATATTAAATTGGAATATTTCTCTTTGATAATTATAGAACATGTTATCCTTGGTTTTTCATAGAATTGGTGCTGCTTGCATTTTTATTTATATCTAGAGACATAATTGAAATACATTTCTCTCTTCCATCTTTTTTTATGTTTAATGAAGGTACTTTGGCACTTAATTTGGCATTTATCAAATTTTATTACAGGGTAATAGTTACATTTTGTCCCATCTTTAGAAAAATTAATTAGAGCTGGAGGTTACTTTAGAGGATCATGAAGAAACATGCTTTGATTAAAAATGTTCAGTGTTTGCATACTGTCATAATTCCCTTTTCAAATATTGGTAGCTTCTTAAGTGTCAAGTTTAGAGTGTTTTGAAAATTAAAGGCATTTTTGATATAGCTAAAATGTAAGGAGGCTGTAGTTCTGTTATATAAGAAAAGAACTAAAATTTAAAGGTATAATTTAAACAAATTAAGTTTCTTTTTCATTTTAAGTTAAATTATAATGGGAAAAGTGATTTTTAAAATTTTATTCAAATTAATTTTCCAGTAGCTTTTTTCTTTGAATACTACATGAGTCGAAATAACTGTGAGTGGGAATAATACAGTGTAATATAACTATAGTATGTAGTGGAATTTCTGAAAGAAATAATGTTATGGTTCCTAAAATGTGACTGCAGTTAGAGTGCCCGCTTCACAGTCAGTCTTATCTCAATAGGAAAGATACTTGTTTTAATGAATGTATAGTTTACTCAGTTTGGGTACTATGACATTAAAAAAAATTTCTAAGACAATTTATGTGAATTGAACTTCCTGATTAGAGACTATTAGTAACTACCCAATAGTTTTATAAATATAAAATATGGAATTTGTTCTTTAAAAACTATATAATATGGAATCATGTGTGGAATGGTGAGTAGATTATGGTTGGGAGTGGGGGATTGAAATGGGGAAATCTGGAAAGGAGTATAATGTCCAAAACAGTTAAGAATAAAGTTTCATGCCTTTAGTTTGAATTATTTTTGTTCAATCTAGTGTTTTCATTTTGTGAGCTTTTCTATGCACATACAAAATGTTTCTCCTCAGGCCCCCTTGTATTTGCTGGTCCTATTTTTATGAACCATCGAGAACAGGCTCTAGCCAGACTCAGATCCCATCCAGCTCAGCTAAAGCATAAACGGGACAAGCACAAAGGTATTTGGTCTTCCTTATCAACTAGGTGGGACACTTTCCCAATTTCTTCCACTCATTTTAATTTTCTTTCTGGGAAAATGCACAAACCTGATTCTTCTACTTTGCTTCTATCATTATTATATAGCCTGAGGAGAAAGAACTTGCTAAAAATGCTAAGCTGAAAGTGGTGCTGTCTGTCAAGTGACTGTCATGCTTCTTTCATTTTTTTTTTTTTTTAACTTCAGTAAATATTTTTTTGTTAACTTTAATAAAGAAGACATTTTATGATAGATCTTTTAAAATTTCATAAAGTTAAGGAAAACTGGAAAAAATTGTCATTGCTTTCTGTTTCATCCTTTATTATCTGCTCTTCGGTGACTGAGATCTGGTATTTTACAGTCTTTTTTTTGCCCCCACCCCAAATGCTGTTTATTTGCTTTAGAATTAACACAACTACTAAATCCATTGTATAAAGTCATAGTGAGTTAAGATTATTACTATTCCACTGTCCTTTGTTTCAATATTGAAGTTTATATACTTATATCACACATGAATATACAAATACTTGGTATTTGAAGGTTAAAGTAGAGACAGATGTAAGAGTGAGGTATGTAGCTCTACTCTAGTCTCAGAAACTGTTCTAGGTCTAAGCAAGTCTGCGAGGGACTAGGGATTATTCCTGAGTTACTCTGAGATTGTAGAGTTCTGCATTAATTAAAAATATTCCTGAAGCATGTGTTTTCTTTTAAAACACAAATTGTAAAACAAATAAAATCAGCAAAGAATTTAATGCAGAGACTTTATAAATTTATGTATAAATTCTGTCTTGAATCCCGGCATGTGACCAAGGAGCTCTTCATTGGCTAGTATGGCTTACAGTTGCCATTTTCTTAAATGCCTACAATAAGCCCTGCGAAATGCAATAGATAGAAACTTTTAAAAACACATATTCCATGTGGAAAAATTAACTAAAGTTTATGTTCTATTTTTTCCTGTGTTGAAAAGTTGTGTAGACTAATTTTTTAGAACTTTCACATGTAGCATAATCAACTTTATTTTTATTTGCCTCTCTCAATCTGTCAGTTTGCCACTCCAAGCAAAAACAGATAACCAAACCGAAAAATCGTTTTTAGTAAAAGGACAAGTAGAGAGAGAGTACTACTTAAGATAAATTCTGCGGAAACAAAAATTAAGGATGTTTTAAATCTAATGTGATTAAAAAACTAAACCCACTGCCATCGAGTTGATTCTGATTCATAGCGACTGTATAGGACAGAGTAGAACTGCCCCATATGGCTTCCAAGGCTGTAAATCTTTACAGAAGCAGATTGCCATACCTTTCTCCTGCGGAACGGCTGGTGGGTTCGAACCCCTGACCTTTAGGTTAGCAGCCAAGTGCTTAACCAGTGTGCCAACCAGGGCTTCTCTAATGTGATTAACCACAGTAAAATTTGTGATTGCTTTAGTTCCTGAATGCTCTAACAATGCTTAAATGTTTAAATCTCAGGAACAATATGCTATGCAAATTATTTATTATCAGAATCTCTGATCCCTTATTATTTCTGCTATGCCACTATTAGAAACAGATTTTCTGAGTGTTTGTTTCTATCCCAATTTTCTCTAGTGGAGTTCTTCCAAGACTTTACCTGAGGTTAAATATTCACATTTCATGAAGCAGTTTAAAACTTGTTTAGCTCTGTTTCAGTATCTTATGGGCAAACATCTTCATTTTTTTCTCCAGGATGTAAAATGAAATATTAAATGAAGACCAAGTTTACAAATACAAAGCTGACTTTTTACAATGTCAGATAATAATTAATTACTTAACGATGGCTAACCTTACTACAGTGTTATCGGCCACAGTTGTTTTATAACAAGAGTCTATGTATCCTTGTAGCAAGCTCTTTGGAGGGACTGACTTTGTACTAGTACCATATATGGTTAGTTTTTATCAGCTTTTATGGTTTTAATAGAGTGAAACAGTTTTCTCTCTTTACCCCCAAAATGAATTTAAAGTATAAATAATATTTTATCAAATAGTGTCCTGCTGTAAGTAAAGGGTATTAATTTACCACTCACTAGTTCCTGTCCTCCCACAGATTCTCTCTGTTCACTGCTTATATTGTTGCTGCATATTTTCGTAGTCTATTAATAAATATTCCAATTCCTTCCACCTACATGTTTTTTTTTTTTTCTTCTCTTTTTCTTACCCTGTTTGCCTTCCAGTTTATTCACTGAGAAGTTCTCTATATTAATTGCTGTGTTCTGTCTGATGTTTAATTACGCTGGTGGTACAGATTGTAGGATGATAATAGTTAAATTTTTCTGGACAGTTACTTTTCTCTGGGGGTATTGAGGGTAAAAGCTGTGATTATTGTTAACAGGAGTGAGCTCTCAGGTGGAAGTTGGTGAGCTTCCAGGTGATTGGAAAGAATTCAGAGACAGTCACAGGATCCATCCTATATAGGCAGATTGTGATTTAAGGAGAAATAGAATATATAAGGCCAAATCAATAATTCCATATAATGTAGAGCAAATTATTCTAAATATGTGAACATAAATTCTATTTCAAACATATAGCTAGACTAACATTTATTTCAGCTACTCCGTGCCTTATAGAGAAAAAGATTTTAATGTGGTATACCTAGTTGGAAACATCTGAATTGTTCTAGAGATAGTCTTAAAATCTGTCTTAATGTGACTGATGTGAAAATCAGAAGACATACTGGTAACAAACATTTGTATTCTACACCTATTTTGTGTTTAGAAATAGTTTGGTATGTTGTAATCCTAAATTTGTCATTTATAAGAGCTATGTGGCCGTGCATGAATTACTTAATCTCTTTGGGCCTCAGTTTTCTTTATTTTAAAAATAAGAATGGTAATTTCTATCTGACTGTGTTGATCTGAAGATTAAATTAAGATTATATATAAAACTATATATATAGGCCCATGTGATGCAGTAGAGTCACAGATGACAAGCACAAGTTGAGGGTCAGATTGCCAAGTGTTGAATGTTAGCCTAGCTAGCAGTAATTTATCTAAGTTACATCAGTAGCATGGGGATAGTACTTTCCTCCGAGGGTTGTCGTGAGATTAATTGACCTGATGTCTGAAAAGCATTTACGTGGTGCTTTATAGATAGATAGATGCATGGATGGATGAGTGGATGGATACATAGTCTTTGCAAATAGAAATCCTCTGGTTTCAATTCCTTTGCTTTCTGTTTTAGAATTGTTAGTACTATCCTAAAGGTACAAAATTTTAGATTTGTTAAATACATAGTTTATTTATGATGTCAACCATTTGGTGGTGGTAAAATGCATGTGCTTTAGAATAAACTCCAAATCTGCTCTATCATTTATTACTTTGGTCTGGCTACTTAAGCCATGGTTTTCTCATCTGTAAAATGGAATAACAATACCTATGTCATAAGGTTATTGTATTGATTGAAGAAAGCAACAATAGTCAATATTGATTGAGTACTTTCCAGACATTATTTCACTTAATTCTCATGAGAACTTTGTGTGGTATGAGCAATTATTGCTATTTTATAGATGGAGAAACTAAGACTTAAAAGAGGTCAGTGTCCAGTATTATACAACTAGTTAATGATGGAGCCAGGATTAGTGCCTAAGTCTTTTAGGCATAAGTGCCCATAAGCACTTATCTGTTGTGCAGTTTAGATTTTCACGGTGTTTTTGCATGGAACACATGCTTAGTAAATTGCAGTTACTACTGCTCCTGCTGTTTTATATTAATGATCTTTTTCAAAGTGCTCACTGTGTTCATTAACAACTTTTGTGATATGTATCACTGTGAGATCACCAAAAATAAAGTGTAGATTTAAATAAAATTTAGAGACCCTTAGTTACTGAATTCTCTTTTCCCTATATGTGTACTCAGATATGTACATATAATACTTGTATGTACACACAGTTTTTTAGATACGTATTTTAGATATATATCTGCCAAAAATTTTTAAACATTATAGTTTCAATATCACATGATAAATAAATGAACATACATATTAGGGAAAATACAGATATGTTCATGCCTAAGTGAGACAATTATAAGAGTATTCATACCTGACTCTTTTTCCTCGAAATCAGATTAGGTCTTATTGTTGCTCACTAACACTTTACTGAATATTGAGCTGGAGCAAAAATTAATCTGACTGTTTTTTGTTGATTCTTGAATTTGCAATAATTTTTGGCTACTTATTATCTTTTTTTCTTTGATGAAAGCTTGTAAATTCCTAAATTATTGGAATTGTGTTTGATTTTTTATTTTTTTAATTTTACTACTACTGCTGGTAATGATCAAGAACCTTATCCCTACTTTTTAAATTATAATAGTAATATTTTCACCATTACAGTAATTGAGAAGTTGTTTTATATAGTTACAGATTGTTTCGATGAACTTGAACAAAATGTTTCTAGTATAATTTTGACCTCTAAATAATAGCTTCTTTTAATCTTATTGTTTTATTCAGTAAATCACTAGGCTTTTTGTTTTGTTTTTTTCCTTCCCCATCCCTGATGCTATCTCTCTATTGTGGGATTTGTATCTGTATTTAATCTCTGACTCAAGGGAGGGGGCAAAAAGCTAAATTCAAAGGTAAAAGCTTCTAATGAGCATCAATATATTTCTGTAAAGTGGAATGATACTTGTGATGTTCAGTTAAGTCTGGCAAAATCATATGAACACAATTTGTTTTTTATGTTAAGTCAGATTTGTTTTAATAATTAGCTATTTTTACCAGTGAGATAAAGATATAAAATGTCTTTGCATCCAGCATCTTATTTAAATAGTCTTTGGAAGACATTATTCTTTTTGTGTAGACTGTTTTTTATATTTAACCATTCCACTGCCTTTCCAATCTGAAGAGTCTCTGAACTAAGATTATATTTCATTTTAGGTGGTATGAAATAAAATGTTGTGACTATCTTTAGCCCATCCATTTTTGAAGATTTAATTTGGCAAACCCACATTAGATAATTTAGCAGAAGAGGAATCATATTGTTTATCTTATAATAAATAGTAAAACCTTCACTAATTCAGAATTTATGATAATTCAGATGCAGTATTTGTGATCTTTTTTCAGTAAAAATTCAACATAATTTCTTCCTCTGTGAATTTTCAGGGTCATACTTATAAGGGGAAACCTGTCTAAAATCACTAGCTTTTCAAACCAAGGGCTCAAGAAATGAAGGATTCCTTCAACGTGCCTTCAGCCTCTGGGTCCAGCAGTTAATTCTTGTATGTTAAAGGACTTTTATGTTTATGATACATTTTTATGTAATATAGGCCTATTTTGAACTATAATATAGGTAACCACATTTTATTTATTGTAGCAATTAGCTTAATCTGTAATCTGTGCTGCTTGAAGGTAATAAAACTTAATTTTTACTTAAATGTTCTATGATTAAGACTTTTTCAGTAAGTCACATGGGCCTATTCATTCTACGTTATTCCGAATTAGTGAGGTTTTACTGTCCTAGTGTTATGAAGATTTCAGAGCTTTTCAAAATTATGATAGAGAGGCATTTAGTTATAGAAAGGAAACCATACTGTAGGTCAGTTTTGTCTTAACTAGATACTACTAAAAGTTAGAAAGGAATGATTAAAAAGAAAAGATAAACTGAACATGAAATGATCTGATATTATTTTGTTTAACATTCTGAAATGGGCAATGAAAATACAGAATTAATTAAAAGTTAATGTGTGTCTGTGGATTCACATATGTATCTGCATATTATACATACTTATTGTTTAGAGTTGATATATCACAGGAGATGATTTAGACTTATTGACCCTTTGAAATTCCTTCCAAATTTATATTTATTCTTTGTGTAAGGAATTTAAATTTTGATGATATAGAGGTCATATTTAAGTGATGTGTAGTCTTAGATTAGGAAAAGTAAATAGCCTCCCTTATTTGTACATTCCAAACTAAAGTTCTGATATTTTGGAATGTGACTTTTGATGGTACGGTTAGAATGCCAAAGTGAAATATAGAAACCAGTGGTGGAGAGTAGGCCTAAAGCAAGGTTAATGGAGGAAATTCTAAAAAGAAGAGACAAGGGAAGAAGGAAGTGGAAGTAGAAAGAAATTTGGTTGAGGGTAGTTAAGAGTTGAAGGTAGGAAGAAGACCACAAAGCAGATTGGCTGCGGGACAAGGTGGAACAGGAAAGATAAATTCCTGTTTGAGAGTAGGTCATTGAACTACAGTGTATTGAATAAAGCTATTTGGCCTTTATAAATTTTTAAAAGTAATTTGAGTTTAGGAATACTGGTGGACAGTGTAGACTTTCTAAGATCTGTTTGGAAAATCTAAGTCACTGTGAGTCAACCAGAAGTTTTTTTTAAGTGGCTAGAACTAACTATATCACTAAGTTTAAAATAATTGTTTAATGACTTTGCATGCAGTTATTTTTTATGCAAACTAAGTTTCCCCATGTAAACTACTACATTTAAAATTTTGTTATTTCTATCAGTTAATGATTGATCCCTTTACATTATATAACTGATTAGCTTAATAGGTTTTATCCTGAACCAGATCTTATCTCTGTTTTTTATTGATTTAGTGATATTTGCAAAAGAAGTACACAGTGTATCTTTTCAAAATTACTTCCTTGCAGGTAGATTCTTGATCTATCACTTCTAACAGCTGCAGATTTTTCTTGCTTGTTCCTTTTAACATTTTTCTCTTGTTCTTCCATAGTAAACTGATTTTAAATTTTATTTTAAATATGAATAATGGCTTAATTACAAATTATAACACTTGCAGATGGAAGTGGAGAAAGAGGAGAAAAGGATGCAAGCAAAATCACAACATATCCTCCAGGCTCCGTGCGATTTGACTGTGAGCTCCGGGCAGTACAAGTCAGCTGTGGATTTCACCATTCAGGTAGCAGCTGGAACTTTAGGGTATAACTGCATTTTTACAATTGTGGTAAATAACTTAATTGTTTGGTTTTAATGAACGTAGTCTGTTAACTCTGTGTTAAAAGCAATAGTGTGGCAATATCTCCTAAATCTATAAAAGCTTTGTATTTATTATACAATCTCTTTTAAAAACTATGATTTGAGGAACAGGTATTTGTCCAGAGATCTGACTTCTAATTCTGTCTTCTGAGAGACTTACTTTAAAATTCTGATTTAATTTAATTCAGAAAATTACTGAAGATGAAGTAATTCCTGAAATCCCTTTCAGCTCTACAGTTGTGTGATTTTTATGGCATAGTCCCGTGTTGAAATGTGACATCAACAAGTTTCTTTTCCTTAAAGTGTAGAAAATAATTAAATTCTTATTAAAGTATTGGCATTTGGGTTATATAGCTTACCTTGTCTTTTCAACCTTTGTAAGAATAAAAAAATGTTAACTTCCTTCTTTGATACTTAATATATTTCCCTATTTGATGAGGCATTGATAGATATTAAAGTTCTGACATTTCATTGATGTTCTACATAATTGTGAAGAGCACAACTCATCTGCCACCTATATAATTATCCTAGATATGAGAGAACAATATTTTATACGTAATTGTTCCATTATTAAGATTTTACAGTTGACCTGAATCAATATGTCTTACTAAATATTGTTATGGTTTATTAAAGCACATAATAATTTTAAAGTATTTATATAAAAAACATGCATTTTTATGACATGCAAAGAATATTTTTCAGAACTAAAATTATATTTATGTCATTAAATATAAATTTGTGCTTCAATTGCCTATTTTTAATGGCCGTTTAAATTTTAAATAATGAAAATTACACTGCTTTCAGTATAGTTGTGGTAGAAATATAAAATGCATTTAATGAGAAAATAAAGCAATGTTTTTTGGTTTCAGTGGTTTTAATGGAAAATGGAGATGTCTATACATTTGGATATGGGCAACATGGGCAACTAGGACATGGAGATGTCAATTCCAGGTACTCTTACTTTTTGTTGGAAGAGACTGATGTGGGTTTTCCCCCCACCCTCCCTTTACTTTCCTTGTCTTTTTTCTTTTCTCTGTTTCTCCTTTTTCTAGAATCGGAATAGTTTTGCAAAGTATGACCTATGGGTTACTGATTACAGGTAGTTCCTAATTTTGTGGCTGAGTGCTTTTATAGGGATAGATGGTTTTGTAGTTTCAGGGGAAAAATGGATTTACATTTTATACAGACAAAATGGAGCCTCTGGGTGGTGCAAATGGTTAACTCTCTCAGTGGTAACTGAAAGGTTGGACATTCTAGTCCACCTAGAGGTGCCTTGGAAGAAAAGCCTGGCAACCTACTTCTGAAAAGTCAGCCATTGAAAGCCCTATGGATCATCGTTCTACTCTGACACACACAGGGTCTACATGAGTTGGAGTTGACTTGACGACATCTGTTTTACTGGTTTACAAACAAAACCTGATGCTTTCTTCTATAAACTATTTTGACTTAATTTCAGAATAATGAAGAACAAATTACGGTAGAGACTACTAGGCATTTCCCAATATTTATTCTTCCATACTTCATTTGGCAGTAGAGTTTTAGTTGGGGGCATGACCATACAGGTAAAAAGACTTTATATCCCAGCATGCTTTGCAGCAAGGAGGTGCTTTGTGCTCTAAAGTAATATGTGAATCTTTGGAATTGTGCTGTTAAAGGAATATTGTTAAAAGCATACTGTTGCAGCTTGCTGGCTGGAATGCATGCATGAGGGAAGGAATTGGAGAAGTCATCATAGACACCCTAAGCTGGAGATTATTATTGAGAAAGCCAGAGCTGTAAGATAAAAATAGTCTGGTTTCCCGACACCATGGAACTGCCGCATCACCTCCTTATATTTGGACTTCTTACCTGAGTGAGAAATAAACTTCTCTCTTGTTTAAGTTCCTGTTACTTTGGCTTTACCATTATAGCAGCTGAATCTATATCCTACTTAATACAGTCAAGGTATTTTTGGTCAGAAGTAATAGAAAATCTATCTTTATTAGTTTGGGTCCTCTGAGAAGATGATGCCAAGATAGGATTAAGTGTGCAAAGGATTTATTGGGGGGAAACTCCGGTGAAGGATAAAGGGAAAGGGAGTAGGAACAGGGAGGAAGAACCTTCAGACACAATGCAGATCTGACACGTGTGAAAGAAAGAAGGAAGGAAGAATTGGGTGGGAAGAGTCTTTAGACTACAGTGCAGTTCTGAGAGTTTCAGCCAGGTTGATGGGGTATTCCTAAGCCAAGGTTGCTCTTGAAAGAGTCCTGTGTCGGGCAGGAATGGGCCAGCATTAATACCTTTGCCATACTCTGTCACAGGTTGGGAGCATTCTGGGAACAATGACCTCATGGATCCAAAGGGACAGCATCTGGGGCTGTCAGTCAACTATGTTCCCTGCAATAGTTTTCTTGAGGGAGAGCTGAGTGATGCACATCTGTGGCTGCCCCACCATTGTAACCAGGTGTATTTAAGTCCAGAGAGATGTAGAGCCGCTTCAGGCCAGGCTTGACTCAGCAACTCAGTTTGCCACATGAACCCAATTTCTTTTTTAATTCTCCATTCTGTCTTATTCTCCCTTGTAGTCACAAGATGTCTCCCAGAATCAACTGGACCTTTATGGTTTCTCAGTTCACAATACCGGTGAAAGAAAGAGAGATTCCCTTCCCCTAATCATTAAAATCCAGTATTTTTACTTTGTTTTGGGTGCACCGCTATTACTGTGGCAAGGATGGAATTATGCCATTTGGTAAAGACCAGTGATTCTTAACCCTGGCTGCACATTAGAACCACCTGGGGAGCTTTAAAAAAATACCATGCCTGGATTCTACATCTAGAATTTGTAAGAGGTATGTGTGTTTGGGATTGGGAATAGAGTGCAGGTATCAGAGTTTTTTAAAAGATACCCAGAGTATAATGTGCATCCAGGACTGAGAATTGTCTATCCCTCGAACTGTGGCACGGTTAGCTCCATTTACACTGCATACAAAATGAGGATGAAATGGAATGTCCTCCATTACTGTGATGAATTTTGTTGCTGATGGTGAGAAGAGACAACTGAAGTACTGAGTTGAACTTTTCATTAAAAACACAAGTGCAACATACAGTTCACACTATTCCCGAGCAGTAAGTAAAATATTATCCACAATCTTAATATCACTGTTGGATATGACATAATATCAGTGGCTTGCAAGGTTGAACAATTACTATCACAGGTTTATGCAGCCAGCAGATATTTTGCTTTACAGATGAGTGAAATCACTGATAAGCAGAGGCTGAATCAGTGCTTTAATCTGTGTGGAGATGAACCTGGCAACTTTTTGTTCTATTTCATGACACAGAAGAAAAGGGTTTATTATATAGTCGTTGTTATTGTAATGATCATCATCATTATTATTTAGCTGGTAATTATTTTGTGAGTTATGATATAAACTGGAAAAGGTACATTGTAATTAGAAATGATGAATGTCAACCATGTGTCCAGCAAGGATGGTACTGCTTTGCAAATCAGAATTTGTTCTTGGATATCGATATCATTCCACAGAAAATATTTGCCAGACAGCTATATTTCATGGTCTTGACTGAGTGGGAGGGAAGTAGTAAAAATCATGTCTGTAATCAACTCACAGCCTTCAGGTAATCCTATCTCACTGTACACTATGAAGAAGGAGCAGCATATATGCTTCGCTATATTAAGGTGTCATGGCTGTCGAAGGGGATGGTGCTCATGTGAGCTTTTAAAAGGAAAAAGTTAGCTAAAAGCATTGCTTCATGGTACTGATTATACCAGTGGGCAGCGTTTTGATTTCTAATGATTTCCTCAGGTAACAGTATCTGTCCACGCATAGACCAGTAACGTGAAACTTATCCCCAGAAATGGAGAGTGCCGAGAGATGGAAGATAGAGGTGGGCAACTCCAGTGTGGCAGCAAAGGAGTGTATTAGGGAGACTTAGAAATGAGGCGAATCCTGAATGGCTACAGGACCAAAGCAGGTCTCTGTACCCTGCAGTGGGAGGGCAGAGGTTTTATAGTGGTGGTGGACAATAGTGGCTACATGCCAGTGACTTACATAAGGATGACTTAGCAAACTGTAGTGAACTAGCAGACCACATGAAGGTGCTCATGTTTGGCCTCGTGTCTTAGTCATCTAGTGCTGCTCTAACAGAAATACCACAAGTGGATGGCTTTAACAAAGAGAAATGTATTCTCTCACAGTCTAGTATGCTACAAGTCCAAATTCGGGGCACCACCTCCAGGGGAAGGCTTTCTCTCTCTCTCGGCTCTGGAGAAAGTTCCTTGTCATCAGTCTTCCCTTGGTCTGGGAGCATCTCAGCACAGGAACCTTAGGTCCAAAGGATGCGCTCTGCTCCCAGCCTGCTGTCTTGGTGGTATGAGGTCCCCCACTCTCTGCTTGCTTCCCTTTCCTTTTTTATCTCTTGATTTAAGATAAAAGGTGGTACAGGCCCCAACCCAGGGAAACTCCCTTTACATTGGATCAGGGATGTGACCTTAGTAAGGATGTTACAATCCCACCCTAATCCTCTTTAACATAAAATTACAATCACAAAATGGAGGACAACCACACAATACTGGGAATCATGGCCCAGCCAAATTGATACACACATTTTTGGGGGGACATAATTCAATCCATGACACCTCTCAAAGCCTGTTTCTGCTTCAGTATGACAGCGTCGTATTCAGTATTTTGAAGAGTTTTAATTTATCATCTTATGAAATCTAATCACTTTTAATGTTGAAGATAAAATATCACGGTTTCTTAAGATCAGACTCTGGTAGAGTTTGCTTTAATTGCCCAAAGTTGTTCTTTTCCAACATGTACCTTTCCATACCTGGTTCCATTTATTGAAGTATAACTGAAAGGCTAATTGTATGTGGTGTGGGCAGAACTAAACTGGATAATTCAGTGTGATAATACCTACACAGTATGTCTAGTAAAGGAGTTCCTGGGTGACGTAAACAGTTAAACCCTTGACTGCTAGCTGAAAGGTTGGTATTTCAAACTCACCCAGAGGTGCCTTGGAAGACCGGCCTGGTGATTTTGCTTCTGACAGGTCATAGTCTTGAAAACCCTATGGAGCAGCTCTACTGTACACACATGGGACTGCTTTGAGTCAGAATTGACTCGATGGCAACCAACAAAAATAAATGTCTGGTAGTATAAATAAAACTTACCCAAAACCTTTTCTGTCTTAAGCACTCTGTAGGTCTTTGTGGGACTTGGAAGGCAGTAGTTAAGAACTGGAAACTCTGGTGGCATAGTGGTTAAGAGATATGGCTGCTAACCAAAAGGTCGGCAGTTTGAATCCACCAGGCACTCCTTGAAAACTCTATGGGGCAGTTCTGCTCTGTCCTGCAGGGTCACTATGAGTCGGAATCGACTCGACGGCAATGATGTTTTTTTTTTTTAAGTTAAGAACTGTTATTAATTCACAAAAGAATTAGTCACTTACAGTAATAATCACAGGAGGAACAAAGCTCCTGTAACATACGTATTAACTACAACAAAGGAAAACATTTGTAGACATTTAGTTGAAATAAAGTGTAGAGTTGAAGGATATTTTTGAAAAGTTTCAAGTAATTAAGTGCTGTTAACTGGAATTTATTGTATAGCACACAATAATATGTGATTAATATAAGACAAATTTTGTAGTATACATAATGAAGATCTAAAAAGGTTATTGGATATTCTCCTTATGTAATGTGTTGTCTTTCCAAATGATTGAGTTCAGTCTCTGGTTTAGGTCTTGAGTCTATATCATTTGGTAGCTTATGACCTTATTCAAGCTACTTAACTTTCTTGTGTCTCAATTTCTTCCTTTATTAAATGGGAGTAGGCGTATCTTCCTCAGAAGGTTATTGTGAGAATACAGTGAGAGAATATATGTAATCTATTAGCACAGAGTCTAACCCATAGTAAATGAAGAATAAATGTTAGTTGTTACTGCTGTTG